TTTATTGGAATGTTATCATTCAGTGTTTATTGAAATTGATCACGAATGTCTTTCATCAATTGCTCCACCTTGGACTCGTCTCCGTTCAGTAAATCTTTCAAACATTTATATGCTTTGTTCGATAAGACTTGTCAAAGTGTTTTTAAACCAAGACATCGATTTTCAAGTATGGTGATCGCTATTGTTATAGTTATTACCGATTGTTGAGTAGTCTTCTCAAGTTTTTCAATCACTGATGATGAAAATGTAGTCACAGATTTTCCTGTCAATTGATTAACATCATCCGCTGTTAATATCCATTGACCATCGTATTATTGCAATTCAATAAGCCGATCAACCAGTTTCTGTTCATCTGTTGGGCAGATCATCTTCGATGTTTGATTGTTAGAGGCATTTGAATTATGCAATGATTGATTAATATCAATAGGTGTTGAACATGTTACACGATTCGAATCAGAATCATTAGAAAATAATATGGTAGGTATTTTGGAGAATAGAGACGAAACACAATTAATGGCAGACTGCAGAATCGAGTCCGTACTGTCACTGAATACAGTGCATGGTCTCGTTGTTTTGTACAATTGCTTTGAAAAAGCATGTAATTCAAACCATTTAGTTTGTCTTATTGAGAGATTGTCAGCTCTTTGCAATAGCGGGTCAATGTTAGAGAGTATTCTCATCGCCTGAAGATTAATACCAGACGATAAACATTGATATCTTTGAGAAGACGTATTTGACAAATGCACGAAATCGTGTCACTGACTCTCGACTTGTCTTACTTACGTTGATTGGCACTTCGCGGAGTTCCATATCGATATTACTTTTACTGTTCGTATCCAACCTTTTTTCAACATCAATAAAAGCTGTCTATGGACATAAAATGCCATAACTGATTGAAATATTAATAAGAAGTTCTTTGTCTATCGTTTTCTGATCATCCAAAAGTTCACGAAGCAATGCTTTTGCTACTAAATGCATAACAAGTTGAGAACCATGTACTGATGGCACATAGTCTATACGAGCTAGACCAATGGATTGCTGTTGTATATCAGTAAATAATTCTACCGTTGTTGAATGATCAAATGGCATTGTCTCATCGAGCAAAGCATAGAAAAGTAACCAATCTCCGATAAACACGGGTGGAGCATGCTCGGGCAATTTATGAAGAATACGTTGGTTTGTATTCCATTTAACGTACACATTTGTGATGCTTGGGGGTAAGGCACGAGCAAGTTGTTCAGCAACATAGATATCTACATTTGTATGTGGAGCAATGAAATTAAAGTAACTATTAGTAGCACGAGCTAAACCTTTAACAAGTGCACGATTTGCCTGCGAAATAAAAAAGAAATTTAAATGAAGTAATTTACAAAGTATGAGTTGTTTACTGAATTATCCAAACTGAATGAGAAAATGCGCGTGTATATGGCCATCTCATGACAGAGATTTGTTACTTCAGTAACATTGGAAATCTCTCCATCCGTCAGTAGAAAGATTTGTCTTACAGAACTTTCAGGTGGTTTGTTATCTGGCAACCAGCGCCGTGGCATGAGTAATTCTGTACCACCAAGAGCAGCTTTCATATTCTTGATCATCACTTCAGCTTGCGACATATTTGTTTCGTTATGCTCTCGTGTTACCTGGTCAGTAAAAAGTGTTGAGAAATAAGATCCAAAACGAATAATATTGAAACGACAGTTGACTGGTAGACTCTTGAGAAAAAGTAACATTGCTTTGCATGCTAGACCAATCTTGTCATCACCTCTTATCAAACCACTACAATCAATTACGAAAAAAAATTCATTTGTCACATTATCTGAGTCTTATCGACAATCCTCTTCACTTGATATGAATGAGATCATAACAGCACTATTGTTAATGGCTGCAATTGTATTTCTGCGTACGTCGGATAATTCAACATCAAAAATAATGTCTCGATTAAAAAAAATCAAATTAACACATGTCTTTCAATGTACATATGAATAAGATGAAAACATTTTGGTCCAGCCCATTAATGTTTTCAACTAATATAAGACAATAAATGACTTACTTGAGTTCAGTTTCTTGTTGGGTGAGTGTTATAAGAAAGAACTCTGCATTACTGCAATCGACCTTGATTCAATATGAAGAAGATGAAATACAGATAAAATGTTGATCGAGTTTTTCTACTTGATAGATGAATTCGAGGGTATTAAGGGATCGACTCAGAATATTTCACTTTACTCTCGCTCGGTGATGTTATACCTTTGTGTGAAGGTGAGTAACGGGGAGCAATCGTAGTAGGAACAACAAAAATAACTAATCGTAATGTGACATTGGCTATCGAACATTAACCTAGAATAAAACATTATACAACGAATTGAATACTCAAGAAAGAAAACAACAATAGCATACGCTCTCACACTAATGATAAATATGACATTTGAAACTTCATCTTGCTCTAATAGATAAGCTCTGTGACCTTGAGCAAGAACTTGTGTATATTCTTGCTGTGCTACATTTTTCTCCTTGATTGGAGAAACAATGTCATGTTCGTCATCTACGCGAGCTATGAACCCATAAATAGTGGCATTCTCTTCAACAGGAAAACTATATAACAATCATATGAGTTACAAAATGCACAAAAAATGAAGTGATTTTTTTACCAATATACAGCTTCAACTGGCACAGATTCCTCATTTTTAAATACTTGTATAATTGTTACATCGGTAGCAAACGAACGAATTTTTGCATCAACACGAACTTGTTTCAGTGGAACTACTTTATCTAATGTCACCAACAGAGCGACTTCCTGCTTGATGTGAAGCATATACTTCAGAATTAGTTTTGTAGTATACAGCAAACACAATAAACATTGCATTTTATATGATAAGAAAAGAGAAATGACTCAGACATAAGTCAATATATAATGATTAAGTATCAATACTAGGTAAATTACTCAGTACGACATGTAAAATCAACCAAAATTAGGTTTGAACTAATTGAACCAGCATATTTTGAAATTAATGACTTATTCGAAATGTTCTCAATGTATTGTGGATCTTCATAGAATATTATTAGCATTAAAAAAAATAAACTCAACTAAATTCATTTTTATCAAAGCAGATTTTGTTAGTAGATGTCACCAATTCCAAATGATATACATATAGTAATCATATGTAATATGTTGTCGTATGTAATACTTTGATATTTTAATACTACTATAACCTACGTTGAGTATACAATAGCTTATTGTCCTTTGAAAAGAATTTATATCTAATACATGTTTTCACTTGTCTCTTTTTCAAGGTTCTATATCATAGAATATATCTATCTAATTTAAAGTTGCTATTTTCATTCTTTTAGTTGAAATATATGTGTTATTCAAGTTATTAACAATTGAATATATGATTTGAATGAATCTGATTAAAAATCACACTCTATTTTGTTTGCTTACCTCTGGCAAGCTTTAATTAGAACACATAAATTATATTGGATATTAAAAGATGTTATACTCAATAAATTATGTTATTATCACTGTTTTATTTACTATCAATGTCGAAAATAATAATAGATATTCGTTCAATCAATTTCACTTAAAAATGGAACTAACTTACTTAAATAACACAATGAATATGTAGATATTGGGAAAAGAAATTAGAAGCAATGTTGTAATTTAATGTTCATCACTTTACTCAATTTGTCTTCGACAGTTATCATATGTACATCTACAGATCGAAAAAAGAATGATGAAAATATTAATCAACCTCAAAAATGGATCTTTTTTCTATGTATCTTTATTACAACCAATTCAAACATCAGTAATTTTATCTTGGGTAACGATAAACAAACTTGAAGTACGTGTTCGACTTGCCAAGAGTCGAAGAAGTCGCATCATTAGATGCATAAGAAAACTTTTTACTACAGTTAATATTATTACTAATGATGATCGTCAGAAAAAAACGAATAATGAAAAAATATGAAACAACATTCGACAATGTCGTTGCAGAATCTGATATTTAAAAAAATTGCTTCACAAATTACCAATAGAAGGTGTCTAGGATAGAAAAAAAAATTTATGCCAAAATCATTTAAATTTTTCAAATTGATTGATTTGATTAATCAGAAATTAGAAACCCATGTTTCTTTTTTCGAATAGTCCTGAGTAAGACTAAAGTTCATTGCAGGCGTTAGCAACTCTTTCTCTCAAGACAGAAAAAACCTTTGGTTTTTAACCTTGTCTATTTAGTATTAGCATAATAAAGCTAACGAAGACATGTGAGTTCTACATTTTAACCTCAAAGAGGCCCCGCTACTAGGTTTTTTTGTATCTTATTCTGTTCTGTCTTACTACGAAGGACACAAAATCAAGCAAAAATAAATAGGATACTTTCTTATAACTTGTATAAATTAATACAAATACAAAAAAAGAAACACATAATAAAGTATGGTCAAAAAAAGCTTTCTATGACTGTCAATCAGTATTATCGATATTTTCTCTCACGTTTCTATATTACGTATTGATATTAAATATAACTGATTAAGAAAAAAAAACATATCACTAATACACGTACACCTATAAGTAAATAAATGTTTGCTCTTATTAGTTCACCAAAGTATGTCATTAATAATAGTGTAATCTGCAGTTATATACCATTAGGATTTAGCTTGTTTATGGTTTACTCTAAGTTGAAGTTTGTATTTCTATTGAGAATTCTGAATCGAGCGTTATATATAATAACATTAGACAAAAGAAAATCTCATAGAAGGACAAATGTGTTATTTTATTGCGATGTTTAATCAAGTTTTTATCTATTACGAATAAAATTTTTACATTTATTTAATCATTTTCTTCGAAGTTACAAGGACAATAACAGCTACTGAAACTATACCTAGAATATGTGAACGAATAAATAATGTAAATTACGATTGTTGGAATTAATATTAAGAAAATGATCGATTAAACATTTATAACAAGTTTAATAAGACATTAGTTATATATGAGCAAAAGAAGATTAATTTCAATTAGATTTCAGTTCAATAAGGATATTCGGTATTGATCCATGTTTATAATCTTTATAAGGATATAATAATTGATCACTTTTCTTTTTTTTCCATATCCATGTTGTTGAATCAACAGTTGTCACTTCTTTTCCACCCATTTTATTTACATAAATATGTCGTGTTGCTTGACTTGTTACTTGAACAAGAGCATATTTAAATCCTTTTTTCATTTTTTGCATAATTACAAAAAGCTATGTGTAATTGACTAGCTACACCTTTACCTGAATGTTGTGCACGAATTGCAGCTACTGTTATATGTACAACTAAATTAGGTTTTAATTCTCGTCCAAAATCATGTGAAATAAAAGTATTATCCATTTCATCGAGTAAATCACTAACTGGAATCACACTAGGCGGACTGCAACCATCATATGGATGTCTATGATGATACGTGTATAAATCACCAGCAAAAACAGCACCAATAATTTCACCAGATGAACGATGTTTCGCCTGAAATGATAATCGTTCATCAAGCATATCTTTGATTAATGGCCATGAACAATGTTCAAAGAAACATTTTGATGTTATTTTATCAAATATTGTAATAGGATTATGTGTAGAAAATTCTTCAGCGATCAGTTCAGCACAAATACGTGCATCGTTTTCGTTGTTGATAATTTCATATACATATTCATCGCCATTCATATTCGGTTAATGCAATGAAAGAAAGAAAAATAAGAAAAAAAAATTACGGTTTGTTTTTATGATTAGATGGCTTTTCTTTCTGTTCTTTTCGTTTCTTTTTTTGTATGATGGTATTTTGTTTTAATCTGTCTTTAATAGGTTTGTATTGTATTACAATAGAAAGAATGCTTTTTTGAATGAGTCAATATTCAAAAAAAAACGAATGATTTATTGTTGCTCTTTGTTACTTGAAGAGAAATATATGAAGTCTTTTGAAAAAAAATAAACTCGTCTAAGAAATACAAATAATATTGAAAAGATTTTCTTTTGAAATGAAAAAAGAAATAATAAATTCAGTTTAGAAAAAGAGATTTGTTCCGAAATATTTAATTATGGGAGCATGAATGATGTAACTTTTGTCAAACACTATTTCCAAGGAGTGTTAAAGCATAGGAGTAGAAATTTGAACTCATTTCTACAGACGCGGCATACATCTCACGAGAAAATTTCTTCAAGTGACTAATGGATTTGGATTCACAACTACGCGCATCGTGTAGAGCCTTATGAGCTATGATTACTCTGATAACCATTCAGGCCCTTACCTTATTGCTTCAGCAATACAGCATTTTTGAAATACTTTTTAAACAAATGCCGTACTTCTCCTCACGAAGGCTGGCAAAGTTTGTTTGCAAATTTCGACTTTCAACTTTGCACATAAACAGGTCTTCACGATAATAGTTTATTGTGAACGCGACAGGCCTTTTGATTTGCTTCTATCCTTGAGCAAAAACTTTGAATCGGTCGTGAGATACAGACGATGTGACGGATGTACTTTCAACGTAGTCGATTCTTAGGATAGACACAACCAGAATGGCTGGAATTTTCACAATAAACTACTCTGCTTAGGACTTGTGTCTATGTAGAGTGTCAAGTCGAAATTAAGAAATTGACTCTCCTAAGTGTGCTTGTGGCTAGCTGTGACTGTCGAAAAAGAAAGATTCATACCTGCACCCACAATGGATATGAACGTATTGTTATTTAATGTGTGAATTTCTGTTAGAGTTCATACAGAAGGCTCTGTTGCAAAGAGAACAGTGGCAAGTACTTCAATATTGATTTTCGTTTGTACAACAAAAAAGTGCATCTTCGTTGACTACCAAAAATTCGAAAGATGTGGCTTGTTTGACATATCAAATGATATTTTCATCCTGATAACCTATTTCTCTTTTTTGTTGGAATCGATTGCAGGTGATATTCATGTTTTAACTTTTTCATCATCGATCAATGATGTTGTTATCGACGATCAAAAGGTTAAAACTCTGCACAGCATTTTATTGCATTTGAAAAAAATCTAAAATTAGGTCTAGATGGTCTCTCAAAGATTTATCATGATCAACATGTGCATGACTTTATTACAGTTATAGTTCTTCTGCAAAGGTGTATACTGAAGTCTCGTCTATGTCATAGAAAAAATTGCATCTCGATATCTTTTGCCATTTACGAGTTATTCGAAGATCAAGAAGCTTAGAAAAAAACATACCTTATTAAGTACGGTGAGCCTGAAAGGGTTAAATATATTCAATACAACTAACTATATTATATTTATTCATCAAATATCTGTTCAACTATTTCAAATTTTACAACTAAGGAAGATTTTAGATATTCACTTGAACATTATAATTAAAATCTTTTCAAAATAAATTCATTTTGTCTATCCTTTGGTTTTGTTCTCTACTCTGCCTGTTCAACATATACATAATGAAACTTTTGCTAACTGTTGGATACTTCTGGATTCATGAGTTAATTGACAGAATTACGGCATATATCCGTGCAAAATAGCGATATTGTAATCAATAGACCGAATCAAGTCAAATCGATTTTCTAATTTCTACACGGAAATAGTTGTTGAAAATGTCGGCGATAAGCTCTGTTCAAAACACACTCTAGTAGAAAAAATGTTAGAAATTCTGACAGTCATACAGCGTTGTCACATTATCACTTTGAAAAAAAAGGAGAAGAAAAATAAAATGTGTATATAAATCATATAGTTAGATAATGAATTCGACAAAGTAGAACAATCAGCAGTTGCATTGTTCGCCTGTTGAGAAGTTCCAAAAGGTAAAGTGAGATTGAAGAGTGTCAGTGAAGTTTGCCGACCCATTTCAGTTGCACCGATAAAGTCAATGCTTGTTGGAAGATCTTGAATGCAGGCTGGATCACTCCGTTCGCTTTGAAATAGAGCTGGAAATGCCCAAGAGAGAATTATTTGTAATGGACACGAATAGCCCAATGAGGCAATCGGTGTAATGATATGTCCAACTAATGGAATTGAATACAATTTTCGAGTTTTTATCGTTATTGTTGCTAGATGACTAGCTAAATCGAATGGCGTCGCAGGATCCAATTGTCCAGCAATCATAAGTACTGATGAATTAGCAACACGATATCGATATTCATCTAATGAATATTTTGGCCAAGCTGATCTTAATGCAATTACATCAGAAGAATCTTCTCGAGACATTATTGTGGCATTATATAAAGCATTCAATGTTTCTTGATCTATTGCGGATTGATTCAAGCTAAGCCATAGTTCAGAGAAAACAATGTTCGAAAACAAAACATTAGAATTGAGCAATGCTAAGTTTTCATCATTCGATGACATATTATTCGAGGATGATGTTGAGAAACCTTGAGTTTGAAAGAAAAAATCCAATGCATCTACATCTTCTTGATTACATCTATTGAGTCGAAATATAAATGCTGGAATAATAGTTCGATCAAAGTAACGTAATGCTGATTGAAATAAAAAGAACAAAGTCGATCGAATTTTATTAGAATTAATTTTATATTGAGAAAAATAAGTATTGATACATATTTGTTTATTCAAATCCAAATCATGTAAGATTTTATGAAGCATTACAGCGGGTGGATCATTTGGAAAATATTGAATACATTCGGTTTGAATTTGACAATAAGTAAGAAATTGTGCAACAACATAAGCTGCTCGAGTATTGTATAGACTCATCGATTGTAATAATGGATTAAATGGACTATCCATAATAGATGCTTGTACGAGATTTGGATAGATTTGTAAAAAACGATCTAACCATAGAGTACCATAAGAAAAACTTAAGATTGCAAGTCGATCATTTGATTGATAAGCTTGAATTTGTATTGATAAATCATGAGCAGCTGAAGTAATCGAAAATTGATTTAATCCTTCAATAGTCCATCTATTTGTCAAATACGAAATACAATTCAATGTGACAGTTTGAGAAAACTGATCATCACAATTTAATAGAGTCGATAAACCAGTACCACGATGATCTGGAAAGATCAATGTAATGCCGTATGTAACAGGGATTATATCTGCTATAGTTTGAAAAATGCTCCATCCAGATTCACCCGGACCACCTGTAATAACAAATAAAGTATTATTACTACGGATATACGATGAACGAAGACGAGACATTGATATTGAAATGAAACTTTGATTCGGTTTAGCATAATTTAAAGGTACTTGTAATGTACAACAATCGATTGAATAGTTCTGATATTCAGTTGGAGCATTTTTACAAATAGACCAAACACATGGATGTGCTAGAGCGTAAGCTTGAATATCAAATGATGTTGCTCCTTTTACATTTACTAATATTAAGGTAGACAATAACAACAATATCAAGATAATATGCATTATACTTAGTTAGATTATTGACGAACGAATACTCAGCTTAGTGTATGATTGCTTGTTTTTCATTTATGCACATTCACCAGAAATATGAAGTATCGCACACTCTTACTGCGATATATATATAGCATATTATGCGACAACATTCTTTTTCGTATGCTTCAGCGATAGAACGAAAGGTTACATACGTAGATTCATACTTGTACAAGTTGCCTACGACATATATTATTAAGACTCATATATAATTTGATATTGACGATAAAAACAGGCATGTTTATGTCATAATGACACTTTTTATTCATGTTATTTTTTTTGCTTTCCTCCATTATTCTATTTCAAAAAACGATCTTCCAATCGTATGAGAAGTAATGAAGGTGTTTATGATATTTACCTTTGTATTAAATATTTTAAGTTATGAAGAGGTGTAGGTGTGAAATTCGTTCTTAAAAAAAGTCACTTAATTTTTCGTCATTAAATATTCTAATCGTTTTTACGGGTGACGTGTTCTTGATTTTCATGTCATTTACTTTTTTTGTTTTCCTTATACAAAACTCATATTCGAAGACTTATATTTACCAAATATGAAGTAAATCAATGTACTCTATCAATCCAAAGAATAAAGGCTTTTTATCAACTTAACTAGAGAATTACTTTGGAGAAACATCATATGTATATTATTCGCTAGAAAATCTATTTATATTCCTCTTACAAAATCACCATTATTGTTTCATTTTTTTAAATAAAACATTTGTTTATGAGTTATATATATGTATGAATGTGATTCTGGGCTTCTTACATCTCAATAGTTTCCATTTCATATAAAAGTAACAAGGACACTATTGTTGAAATCAACATCAGAAGTTGCACAAAGAAAAATTTTATGTACTTACGTTATATCATGGCAATTAGTGAGAATGCTTTGGATTTTTCATGCGGACTACATGTCACCTATATCAATGTACAGAAAAATATTACACATATCTAACAATCTTTATATAATAGACCACATGCGAATGGGATGTGTCTTCTTTGTAGTGAGTGATCATTAGTTGCAGAACCAAGATGTTGAACGAAGATTGAGTCTCCTTGACTCTATTCATGGAGCGAAGTATATGTTCTCTAACTATCGATTCAAATAAAATTTCCTCATATTGATGATATTTGAATCGATATTTGATTTAAATATATATCGCAGATGTTTTCAAAATTCATGTCCTCTATAGTAAATTATATAATTCATTTATAATTTATTTTGATTATTAAACATCATTAATATCCGTTTTTATCTTTAAAAAAGAATTCGAAACAAGATGTACAATTGAAAAGCTAGTCA